TTGAGCAGTCAATGGAGTGATTGGCTTCATGAAGGCATACTATACATATGTATGTACCTACACATGAGCATACATTTTATGAGTAAGCAATGATAGAAACACGAAGCGTCGATTTTCATTATTTTGAAAAAAATTTCATTCCCATAATCTCTTTAATTGCAAAGTGCGAATGTAGAAAGTGAATAGCTCTGATATACATATCTTGGTCCTTGCCCTACCGATGTAGATATGGACGCAGTTTAGTGGGAACGCAGTGCGAAATTCAAGTATCCTTTTTAGGTAGTCCGCCCAACAATCTGCTCTCGAGTCTAAAGAAGTTGCCTAGTGCGCCTTCTTAGGCAACCAGGGGGGCTGTAGATACTGCTGCCTATTCGGATATTCCTGTATATGGATAAAATCCGGTTATCCGGTTAGTATCCCTTCTCTATTACAATCCGAATATCCGGTTAATATTTCTTCTCTATCCGGATATTCGAATTATTAAATCAAATATTGGAATATTCCAATTATCCCAGCCTTACTGCCTATGCATATATCTCTAGGGCATTGGTCCAAAGGCACCAAACGCAATATTGGACCACACTTCCACGAATATTAGGCTCATAAGAGAATGCCTTGCTTCCTTACGTTGGTCTCTCTGGGGTCGACGAAATGGTCGACGTGCTAGCCAAAAACGGGCCGGCTGTGGATATCTCAGCGGCAGAAGAGGCTATTATTGTACCTCTGAGCTATGTACATCAAAGGCCGCTTGTCTCAGCGCTGACAATGAAGAAACCTACAATCCAGCAGCGTCCATAATAGATTTTGGCCCACCTACTGCGCAAACCTGTCTGCAGTTATCATCAGACAGGAAGCTTCTCTCTCGGCTAACTGCTATTTTCACATGACACTGGGCCATGGGTACTCTTGTCTCAAGACTGGGACTGGAACACAACACTTCTTGTCGTAACCTACCAGGCCAAGAAAAAACCGTAGAGCATCTGGTGTGGGACTGCGCATCACTAGCTAGGATCAAATCAGATAAGTTAAATCTAAGATCAAAATGGGAGATCCCGAAGTCTTGGCAAATTAATCCCCTCACCTGGATGGCAGGTTTATACATCGAATATCTGGCAGTAGACTTTATATTTATTGCAATGGACAGACGGCAAACAGTCTGCTCTGTTCGAGTTGCTTTCAATTTCAAGCCATACATAACCTTAAAAAGGAGTTTAAAAGCTCATTTATATGTAGTTACCATTTCAGTTAACATAGCGACCCTCAGGGCCCTATCCAATTAGATAACCACATCCATGCTCGTCAAGGATTTGTTGACGCCCTTTAACACTTGGCAGCGAGAAATTCTTTGTGTCCTTGTGGGTCTGGAACCATTTTGCGAACTCAATTGGTCTTTTTTGAGACTCGCAATTACCGAGGGGATAAACTTCGAGCGCGGTAAGAACTAGGGCGGTAGGGTACAGAGCCTTAGGCAGACCAGTCTCTTTGGCAATCCTTTCATAAGAAAAGACATACATCTTTCGAATAGCTCCAAAATCAGGTTGCTCAGAGTATCTAACGGAGTAGTCATAATCATCTCAATAGAGGGCACGTGTGCTCAACCGCGAAGAAGTTTCGTCAATTGTCCATAATTTTTTTGGGATAGCTATATCGCATTGTGGGCGAGGGAGAAGTTAACCCGTACCTTTGAACTCCTTAGTGGAGCCCGAAGGAAAATTTTCTAACAGTAATATATGTAGTTTCCAAATTGGGTGCAACTTATCGAACCCAACCAATTCGTATGAAGCATTGGATAACGGAAGAATAGGAGGGTCAGCGCCTAACTATACAGATGTACATCTTAACAAAAACCAGCCAGGGCCACCTGGTATCATCAGCGTGCATTTTTACTGCTTGAAAAATATGGCCAAAGATGGACGATATCAAGACAAGGTACTTCCTTGTAAACAACAATGTACACACCCATGCAGTCAGGACGAGTATCAGCATCCGAACCGACAACATCGTCCTAGGAGGTCAACCGCCGCCCACCAACATAGACGATTGTAACCGCCTGTAAACGATTAAAAGCAAAAAACATTTGGAATATAGCGCATTTACTTAGCACATTCTCTTCTACGGCATCATCGTCTGGTGGCCGACGTTATAAAGAAGAAGGGATATTCCTGGAAGCTGCATGGCCGACGAGTTGGTAAGAAATTGAAAGAAAATATTCACGGTAAATTCTGCTAGGACGAGGTCATACCTTTAACCTCCTGCAAACACAGACTAAAGGTTAAACTTATCGAGGAGGTAAATACCTTCCCGGTGGGCTGTGGAATGCACTTGCCTTACCACCAGACAAAAGTTTATTTAACGTGATATAAAGCTATCACTCGACTGGACCGCTCTTCTCACAGTTTAGTAGTCCGGAAAATAATCGAACACTACTGCAAGGGCACGCATGGAAAGAAGTTGGAATATGCAACCAACGATTTGTGTCGCTATATCTGCCACAGTCCCGCCCTGGCCCAGGCGCGCATACAATTCTTCAACAAATACTTTTTAAATTTTCTTTTTCTGACTTTAAGTCAGCCAACATTCTCAGTTTTTGTGCTACATAAAGCGAACTCGGATGTTCAATTTCTAAAGGAAAGAATCACCACGGAGGAAAAAATAGTGTTGGGAAGGATCGAGTTCTTTTTAGGATCGAGTTCTTTAGTATCGATACTTTTAGGGATCGGGTATTTTTGTGAGTACTGAGTACTTTCTTTAAATATACACATGTTGGTAAGATTTCCATACTTAGTGTAGATAGAAATCTCTCAAAATTAATGGCAAACTTTACTGGATACAAGTATTTTATGTACTTGAAAACTATTGAAACTTCAAATTGAGTACAATCATTTCTGAATACCGGTAAATATAAATAAAACTCAGTACTTTTAAGTATCTCATTCATCAGTTAATACTGAGTACTTTGAATCTATCCTGAGTGCATGTACCAAAGTGATGAAATATGAACAGAGTACTTTTAAGTACTGAATACTTTCCTTGTTTTTTAAGTTCTGAGTACTTTCGAGTTCTTTTGTGAGTACTGAGTACTTTCGAGTTCTTTTGTGAGTACTGAGTACTTTCGAGTTCTATTGTGAGTACTGAGTAATTTTGAATTCTTTTGTGAGTGCTGATTTACTTTGGAGTATAAAATTGGGATGTGAATGAGTTTATTTTTAAATAAATAAAAAGATTGAGAAAATACCTCTCATAAGTCTAAATTGGTATAGTTTTAGTGCAGTTAATCAAGTTTTTCTTAAATCAATCTTTGAAAAAAGTCTAAAAAACAGCATCAAAAATCTTATTATTATGATTCCGTTGAAAAAATTGTTTTAAGCTGAAGCTGTTTTGTTATCTAAGGGGATTTTTTTCAGAAAATCATTTAAGAAATTATTTTTATTCACAAAAAAATTCCATCTTTGGAGGTATTTTCAAATCGGTCCAGCTCACGTAAATTGTAATAATTTTTCGAAATATTTTGGAATAAAATTTTGAAATATACTACATTTTGCAATTTCGGCGGAAAGCCGCAATTATTTTTGGCGATGCAGGTTTGAATCTTCAATTTAAGAAATATTGTACAATTACTGAGCCTTAAGTACTCACCTCTTTAAATGCAGAACACTTTTGCCTTGATAGTTGCATGATGACTCCTTGCATTTTAGCTGCTCCTTGGCATGCGATGCGGCATGAATGCGCAGTAAAGTGGGATTTGCTGCCACATATCTGCAGCCTTCGTTGGTGCAAACACTTTCACGAGTTGCCGACGGCAAAGCAATATGACTGGCGGTGTGCTTTTTTAGCATATATCTGTAAAAATATGAAAATATTTGGAAATATATGTATGGTAAATTAATGTATTTAAGTATTTTAGTTCGTATAATAACTAAGATTATCAACAGGAATTGATTGACGAAAAGGGTTTTGCTCAGACCAAATTAAATATTTCATGATGCTACGAAAGAAAAAAAATATCCTTACTTTTAGTCTGACTACTTCTGTTAAATATGTTGCACATACATACATACATACATATATACATACATACATATGCATTAATTCGTCTCCATAGCACTGCTTGCCACACTTCCTTCTCGCCTTGCTTTTTTCAATTTCTCATTTGAGTTAGTTAGTATTTATGTATGCAACTGTGTGTGTGTAGAGTTTTTTAAAATTTGTCTAAAAATTTTTTAATTACATTAAATCAAAGCAAAAGTAATTCACTCCAAAGTCACGTACCACCAAACTGATGTAGGCTGGCACGTTCAATGGCCTGAAAACATATAAAACAGCCAGCTATCCAGCCAGCAGCGTAAGTAGTGGCCACAAATGCAAAACTTCCACTGCAACAACTACAACTACAATAACAACATGAGTACTATGAAATACGTCCAAACACGAAACATAGCCGCAGCGTGTGTCCACACGCAAAAAAGGGCAACCAACAATTGCGAATGGACGACCATGATGAGAACGACGACAATGGTGATGACGACGACTAGCGGTATTCACAGCATCATCCAGCCACCAAAAGCGGACGAAGACACACCAACATTGGTCAGCTGGTTACATTGTGTTGAAACGTCCGAAATGTAGAAATCGTAGGCAAAACTTTTGCAAACATCAATTACGAATGCTAATTAATCGGAACAACAGACGGTTAGATGGAAGGTGTGGTGCGGTTTGTTGTGTAGTGGTCGCCTGGAAAAGACCTGGAAATAGTCCGTGTAAGGAAAAAAGAAGTCAAATCATACGAAGGGGACTAACAAAAGTTCGTATTTAAAGCATACATGAATTTCGATGCTGACATTATTATAGGTGTTAATGCTGGTTCCCAAGTAAACGAAATTCTCTACTTTCTCGAAATTATAACTGTCAATAGTATCGTGCGTGCCAAGACGCGAATGCCCAGGAGATACTCATTGACCACCATGCCCATTCGTTTTGCTTCCTTATCCAACTTGGAAAAGGCAGAACAGACTTCGCGGTCCTTGTTACCGATGATGTCGATGTCATCGGCGTACGCCAGCCAATTGTACGCTCTTGCAGCAAATTGTTCCAGAGCGGTTAAGTTCTGCAGCACTTATTATCTTCTCCAACATCAGATTAAAGAAATCCCATGAAAGAGAAGCACCTTGTCTGAAACCTCGTTTGACATCAGACGGCTCAGAGAGGTCCTTTCCAATTTTGTCAGAGCTGGTGGTATTTCTCATTTCGTCATTTTACACACCCGTAAAAGTTTCGCGCGGATGCTAAATTCCTGCTTTGAGTGCTTTCGAAAGCTGCTTTGAATTCGACAAATAGATGGTGAGTTTCGATTATTTTCTGGCCCGTCTTTTCTAAGATTTGGCGTATTTCTAATACCAGAACCACGGTGAATTTGCCAGGTCTAAAGCTACACTGATAAGGCCCGATCAGTTCTCTGACGATGGGCTTCAGTCTTTTACACCATACGCTCGATAAGATCTTGTAACCTAAGCTTAGTAGGCTGTTCCTGCGGTAGTTGACGCAAATGGCGGGGTCGCCTTTCTTGTGGATTGGGCAGAGCGCACTTAAATTGCAGTCGTCGGGAATGCGTTCATCTGACCATATTCTGCACAAGAGTTAATGCATGCACCTTAATAGCCTTTCGCCACCGTGCTTGAATAGCTCAACTGGCAGGCTGTCAGCTCCAGGTGGTAGAACATCGACTCCATCATCATCGAATGAGGGCTTTCCACAACTTTCAGTGCTGCTACCCTTCAGTAGGGAGAAATATGTTCCCTCCATAATTTAAGTATGTTCTGGACACCAGTCACTAGGTTGCCATTGTTGTTCTTCCAGGAGTTCGCCCTGGTATATAACCTTCCGTAAGATGCTTAACTCTTTGGTAAAATGTTCGTGCGTTTTTCCTGTCGGCCACCATTTTAAGCTATTCGCACTCACATATTTCGGCCTCTCTCTTCTTATTGCGACAAATATGCTACCCTCTTCAGTACTCTACAGCGGTGCCACATAGCTCGCGTTATGCCCGATCGCAGCGTGGCCCTGTTGGCGGCATCTTTTTTCTCTGCAGCGTCTTGACACTCCTCATCGTACCACTTGTTTTTTCGGGCTTGCTGAAATCCGATTACTTCTTCGGCGGCGGTACTTAATGAACGGGAAATGTGGTTACATTGCTCGCATATATCGGTTTGTTGAAGAGTGCTGCTCTCAGAGAGCAGGTGTGAGAGTCGAAGATATGCGCGGAATCGCGCTCCACAAACACCCGCACCTATCCCGTAAGCTGTTTTGCAACCATCGGAATACCATATTTGTGAATCGACGTGCAGACACGTGGGGATTGTGCTTCAATATTCACGAGTGGAAAGTATGACCTTGTAACTCTTCGTAAAGCTGAGGATTAGACCAATTCGCTCTAAGAACAGGACTTTGGCTACGATGGCATCCTTTCCGTTTAAGATTTCAAGGTGTCCGACGAAGTCGCTGTCAAGTTTGTGATAATTTCGGGGCAGTTTTGGGACCTGTTCAAGCCCATTTCGGGATTAGTTCACTGGCTTATTTCTGGACCATTTAGATACTAGTTTAGGACTATTTTGGGACTACTGCGGCATAGTTTTGAGTCTGGTTCAGGACTACAACGCGACTAGTTCTGAGAAATTTTGGGCCTAGTTCAGGATCGGGTTGGGACTTATCATAGACCATTTCGGGACCATTCGAAAACTTTTTGGAGATCATTTCTGGGCAAGTTCACGACTTATTCATAAGCTCTTCATGACTACTTCAGAACAATTTAGCGACTAGTTCGGGACAATTTCGGATTAGTTCGAAACTAGTCACGTAATCATGTTGAAATAGTCCTGAACTATTTATTCCCGAAGTGGCAATGGAAAAGTTGTGTGCTTTTTTCATGAGCACGCGCAGTGAAAGAGCTTTCTCTGACCGTTGCTGCTGATATTCGCTATGCTTTCCGGGAGATCCAGTTGATACGCGTATCCTTACTTAACATCGGTATATCTACTCATAATTGTAGTGGAGCTTTCTTAAGCTTTTAATGAATGTTATATAAACAGGCATAGGGTAAAAGCTGTCTATGGCCATTACTGGTTTAATCATTTTAGCTTTTCAACGTTTGGCGGATTTTCAGTTTCCTCAGCTAACTTTTGTTAGTCCCCTCCTATTTATTTGCATAAATATGTATGTAAGTATGTATGTTTTTTTTATTTATACAAGTGCATGTGTGTTACGAAAGGCATTGCAATTGAGTTGATGGCCCAATGCCAGCAACCAACAGACGCCGGTAAAAAAAGTTTTTCTAATTACTGGTGACATTTGTAGAGATTCGAGAAAAATGAAGTGAATCATGCACAGAATATATAATTTGATTGATTTTTCAATTGGTATTTGAAAATGCTACCAAAATTGCGAAGTAGAGAAATACTTAAATCGAACAGTGGTGGGTGAGTTCAGTGGAGTTGGGCGTTCAAAATAGCTTTCGGCATGTTGAGTAATGAAATTAGATTACGGACAGATGGTAAACTTTACTTTTGGAAAATTTTAAGGAATTCGGAGAGCATCAGTTACATCAGCTACTTTAAAGCTACTCCTGCAACTTTTCCATTCCTTTTCATCCGCTCTTCCCGCGAATCGCTTGTGCTCACTGAAGCTCAACTTTTCTGGCAGAACATCAAACGAGTACTGCATATAAATATACCAAACGCTCGTTTACGTCTGCTGCTCATTTGACATTTACAACATAGCATTAACCGAAAACATACATACATACCTACAATTGAAGGAAAAATACACAAATTACAGCAACAAAAATGCAGCGAAAAAAATCCTACTTTGCGCTAGTAATGCGCAACATTAACAAAGTTTCAATCTTTAATCTAAATTTGTGTTTACGGCAAAATGGCAAACAAGCAACAAAATAAATGCCACCGACAGCCACCTCCTACTTGGCGGCAAGCTTTGTCCACCCACCACCGCACAGCATAGGATAACGCTTCAACGACATTGTCATGCATTTCTAATGATAACACGGCTACCTTAGAGCACAACAATCGGATGCAGCCAGCAAAACAACAACAACCACAACAACAACAACAATAGAAAATACTTTTAAGTATTAAAGCAGCTAAGTGTAGACAAAGCAAATGGCGGGATGCCGTGCAGCAGCAGCACAGGTGCTATTGCCAAGGTGCAGGCACTTCCTCTGCGGACCGGAGATGCTGTTGACAGTGTTGATGCCGGTGATGGTTGCCGTTTGCTGTTTCTGCCATTGCTGATATGTGAAATGTCACATTGTATTCGCGCTTTGAAAAGTACTGACTTTAATTCGTCCCTCTCTTAATGCGTGTCTCTGCGATCAACTTGCTACTAGGATACGCTCGAATGCACGTCACATCATCAGCAAACAAAAGGCGGCGTCGGTGAGTTGTGTTTTTTGGTGCAGCAGCAAAGGATAATGGCGACATTACTGCAAGAAAACGAGCAAATCTATGGGGAATTACAAGTTCTTGATGCACAGCAGAGTTTTGTCACCAGCGCGCGCGGCAGTTCGACCGCTTGCTCCACAGCTAGCCATCTTCTATGTACTTGCGATGCACAGCGGTCAAAATTGGCATTTTGTGTTCACAATTAATGTTATTTTTTTTTTTTTAAATCAAAGCTAATGAAATTAGCAAGAGCCCGATTTTTGAATTTTTGTTTGCTTGTATTAATTTTTTTTTGTGCAGAGTGCAGAAAAAGTAGCAATGTTGAAGAAACATATAATACATAATAAAAACAAATTGAAAACAATTGTAGGGTGCCCACGAAACGAAAAA